AGAACTTACCCTATATATTTTCCTTGAAAACATCACTACTGTTGGTACACTGTTCTTTGTGAGATTTTATCTCTGAGCTGTTATACAAAGCTTCCTTGCAGATTCGCTTCTCTTTCTGTTTGTTCTGAACCCAGTATATGTTTACAAAAATTGGATTGCTCTTTGATTTAGAAGAACTTCAGTTCAATTTGCAGTATAAAAATTACAAAATGCTTTGTTAGGCAAAAAATATGTTCTACTTTTATCTTTTGCCTATATTTTATCATGGTTGTCCATAAAATATGTGTATATGCTCTTAATACATCCTTTCAGTTCCCCATAATATCACAGAGGCTCTAACAGAGAACAATTGTATAGTTGGAGGACACGTAATAGGCTACTAGAAGAAATATTTACATCTGGCATGATCAAAGCTTTTGGACTATATGAATGTGTATGTGGGAGGTCTAATTTTTATGTGGGCGGATTCACAAAGACCAAAACACTGCAGTACTTAACCTCTTTCCCTTTATGAAAATTCAATTCCTCCAAATGAAAAAAGTATGTAGTACCTGATTCTTATCTTTATTTTTCATTTCGATGAGTAGTATTAACTATTCTGCTTGTAATTACTTGTTTTAAGTCATAGAGAATTTTTTTGGTATTTCAACCCCTGTAGTGGCTTATTTAGTAAGATGCTTATCTTGCTCATGATGTTTTTGCATGTTGGAACATATACATATTTTCAAATTTAAAGAAACTCATATTTTTAACACAATATTGATAGTCTGTAGAACATCTGTGGAAGGAGCTCTGCTGTATTTTCAGTTTAGAGCACTAGTTACATCTTCAGGTTTGGTTTTTGCAGGTTTAGTTCTTCTGGCAGTAATCAGCTGTGAGCCCTGGCTATTTGAATTTTTTTTATTCAGTTACTTCAAATAGTTATATTACGAAAGGCTATTAACACTTAGTCATTTAAATAACCTCAGCGTTGTGTTTGCAAGGCTCTGATGGGGACATTTGGGATGATAGCTGACCTGGGCTAGCAGCTCGCTGAACGGGGAGGTCTCGCTCTCCCTTTGGCTTCTTTCCTTCCTCCTGCTGTCCTGTGATCTTCCCTTCCCCGGCCCCCAGCTACACCAGTTCTGACTGCAGGGTAGCCAGCTCAGCTTGCCAGCCAAGCAGAAGAGCCCACACGCCAAGAGCTGTGTGCCAAATGCCTTTTGTGCTGTTCTGAGCCTTAATTTACCAGGTGATCAGCAGAGTACCTGAGCTGGCTCCCAGGTAAGCATCAGGGGCCTTGGGGGCTGTGGTGAAAGGGGAGCCACCTGCCCTTTTTGCCCCTGGTGAACTTGCCTCTTGCTCAGAGCACTCTCTGAAGTCACAGCATGAGTCACAAACACAGCATCATGTGTAATATGTGGCTTCTTGAAAATCAGCCCTGCCTTTGCAGGCAGATGATGATGTGAGGAGCACTTCTTGTAAACAGTGAAGACTGTACATTTCTTTTGAGAAGACACACATCTTTTGTGGGTATCTTCAAAGATTCTATGCATGCTTACAGCATCCCTGGCAGTTACTTTTAGAGCTGGGGGTCATCAAAGCAATAAAACATCTACCCCCTGTGAAAGTGTTTTTTACCTATTAAATCACGGGTGCCTATGCTGTTACACTTCGCTTGCTGTTACCCATTTGCATTACTTCAGCACTCCAGGCTTAGGAGAGTTGATACACTTCTTTTGGATATGTGCTATATCTCTTCATTATCCTTGTAGCATTGACAGTTCACAAATCTAATCCTGAACTATTCTAGCATCAAATTTGTATAAACTGGTATCAAAGTCAGTTAATATCAGGGTGTTCTGTAAGTAACAGCAGCTGAGGGAGCATTTCAGAAATCATGGAGCTATTCCTGATACGCTGCAGAGTGGGATAGAATGAGCGGGTGGAAGTGAAAATTCTTCATCTGGTATGTTGTTGAGTCTCTGTGAACACCTGAAGTACCAAGATGCTGCTATGCCAGCTTCTCTAACACAAAGCCCTTGCAAAGTAGGTAGACTCTTAGCAGGATTTTGGAACCCTAAGTTGTAGTGTTATCAAAGTGATGTTGCTTTGTTTTCTCTAGTCTCAACACTAGAACTCAAACACAAGTTTTGTTGATCAGTTAAATGGCATTTGCAGTTCACAGAAAGGTGGTCAGTGTGTTCAGGATCTTCATGTTTTCCCTGGGTGCTACACATCCTTTGCATGTTTTCCCTGTATTTTTTTATCTTTTTCAGTTTGAAGGAAAAAAACAGCAACAAAAAAAGACGTGTTTTTTCCTTTGTTACAACTTACAGGATTGTCTACTAGACTGCTATACTCTGTGACCACAAAACTGCCTTTTCTTCTGTGTCATGCTGTTGAAAAACTGCTAGCATGCAAGTTTAGTCTAAGCAGAACATCAGCATTACTTGTTTTGCTACCTCTTGGTAGTTTTCACCGTGGTCATGAAATACGCAGTTAGAGGCTCCAATCTATTTCTTGGTGCATTTCTCAGCAGTTCAGTGTTCTCATTCACAAAGAGAGCATCACTGTATGTATTTATACTTAAGGAGACTAAATGTTAAAAAGGCCCCAGAACTGGCAGTGCTATCTATAATTGGTCCTCCAAAGCAACAGCTAACTCAGCAATGGGAAGTATCATGTTTGGTTTCTAGCTCCCAGCATCACCTAATTTGCTAAATATTCAAATACAAATAAAGTGTCATAAGGAAGAGGCCTTATATAAATACTTAAAATCATACGCATTCGGGAATCATCATAAAACTAAAAAATATCAGCAGAATTCAAAAGAGCTGAGTTTAAAATATTGCATTTTGTAAGCATTCATAACCAGGATGTGTGTTTCAGGCCCAGAACACCACACTCCATTTTAATCTCTGTTTTTTCAGCTCTGAAGATTGCCAGTATTGCTGAGGTCCCTATGGCACTTGAATGAAACCGTTTCCTATCTAAGCCTAAGCAAGCCAAAACAAAGAAGACAACCATTGTGTCCATTATTTAGAGTATAAGAGTGGTACCAAATGGAGCACAGCAACAGGGAAAGCAAGGGTTAAAAAAAAAAAAAACCAAAAAAAAAATCCCCCAAAAAACCCAAGCAAACAAACACACCCCCCACAGCAGAAAAAAAAAAAAAACCAAACACCAAAAAACAACAACAAAAACCCAAATAAAAATCCCCAAGAAATTCCTGCAAAGGAGTGTCAGCAAAAACAAAAACAATATCTAAAAACCCCAATACCTAAAACAAATGGGATGGAAATGTTGCACTACACCCCTTCTCAAGCACTCCCTCAGAAAAAACTCTGGGCTGTCCTGATAATGTGACAATTCCTGACATGAAGAAAACAGATTTGAACATTTGATTTTGCTGTCTACCAGAGACAAACTGTGTATGTAGCATTATTAGTGTCACTAAGAGATTGACTGCCTGCCTTCCTGTTGCTTGTTCAAGGAGATTTCCATTTACCCTCATCTAACTCCAAGATAAAGAAGGGACCATCTGTTCTTTCTCCTTCACTCCCTTCCTTATTATGGTCCTTTGTCCTCATCATCTCAAATACTAATTCATTCTCCCCGATGTCCTCAGTACATTGCCTGGTCTGTCAAGTGCATGTACTCATCTTTCCATCGGTCTGTTATGCCCTTAGATGTTTCCTTACTCTTTGGCATGTGTATTTGCCTAATCCTGGTGTTTTAATGTGAGTTTCTCTGCTGTGCCAATGTACCCCAGAAAACCTGCAGCTGGCCTGAGGCCTCGGGAGGGGTTACAGCACGGGGGTCCATGCTCTAGCTCTGAATGTGGGTTGTGAGGGAGAAGTCTTGGCTGCACCACTGTGCCTCTTCCTTGTAGATGGTTGTTCTCTTTCAGGAGAAATGCTTAAGTACAGTCACACACAAAAAGTAAGGTGTGCCTTCCATATCTGTATGGATTCTTACCAAATTCGGACTCTGCTGTGTTGTCTGCTCCCAAATTACTACCTTCAAGAATGGCATGTCCTTATGTACCACTACTTAGACTGTTCAGTGAACATTTTTCAGTTTGCTGGTGACTATGGACATGGATTAATTTTGCCAAAATCCTTTTTGCAGTAATAGGGATTTTAAAGAGGCTTGTCCACTAGCTCTCCTCTTCTGGTCTTTTTCCTGCAGCCCTTTTAAAAAGAAAACAAAAAATTGCATTAAAGTTACAAGTGGAGAAACTCATACCTGTGGACACACAGGACTTGTGGTATTTTTATATTCTCTGTTATCAAAGGCCGCCCTAGGACCCAGAGAGTTAAATCAGCATCTCCCCACATGAGAGCAGTGAGGAAGTTCAGGGAACAAATACAGTGTGGATGATAGCTTTGTGTACAGCACTGGCATGATGCCAAAACCTGTATAAATATAGCTCTGTGACGGGATCGTAAACAGTGTCTGCCTTTCCCTTCTCAAACATCTTTTCTAAGCCTGTCTTCGTGCCCGATCTCTCTTACATGTGTGTGTGTGTATGTATATCTTATATATAAAGAGATTACACACCAAATAATTACTCATTTTATATCCCAGCCCTTTAAAAACATATCATGTGTTGTAGGTTTTGAGTTCCAGTGAAAATGTTACATGAGATCTAAGGCATAGCTGTTGTTTGGCAGAATTAGTCACCATGTAATAGTGACAGGACTGTGTGGAGATGTTTTTAAGAGACATACCTGTATATTTAAACCCAGATTAATAAATATCACTACATAGGCAGGAGACAAAAAAAATTAAGCATCAGCATTTTCAGTGGCTTCCTGTATTATTCTGGAATTGAGAGAAGGCCCCAAGTGGCACAGAAGTAAACATCCATCTAACTTATTTGCAGTACAATTTATTATTCTACATGTGTTTGTGTAAGTTTGGCATCTGTTTTCAAGAAATCATTTTTGTGCTGATTTTATTTGAAAATGTTTTCAGTCTTGCTCTATATTCTTACACATATTTTCTTTCAACAGAGTTTGCATTTAGGATAGTGAATGCTCCAATGGCCCTGGATTTAGCCTTTGGCATAGTGTGTGAGCTGCTGCAGCAGTGGGGGGAGATCCATGCCGGTGTCCCAATCCTGCTGGAGTGGCTTTTGGGAGACAGCGACCTGCAAAGAAATGGGGAGACTTCTGCCCTGGTACGTTTAACAACCCGTTGCTGTAGCGTGTTAGAAGCACTATAGTTCTAGAGTCTTGTGGTAGGAATAAATGAAATGTCTCATCTGATGAAAGCCGATAAGTGCTACTGCAGTACTAACTGATTTACAGTCTTTTAAAAAATTCACATGGATATTATTTAGAATTGAAAGAGTTTTATGTCTGTTTCCTGGTAATACCACCATAAAATTAAAGAGATCAATAAGCAAACATTGAAATAAATCAAGAGTTACTTCACCAGGCATTGTTGACTGAAACATTTTGAGGCTGTAATGTAATTACATTCAGTATTATTGCAGATGATGGCTTCCCTTGAATTTAAACTGCTGTTGGGGGTGCCAGGCACATCTGGGCGTTCAAGACCAGTGTTCTACCAATGCTGGCTTTCCCAGAGATAGCATTTAAATATTTGGTAACTTCATGCCATCATCCATCTGACTGGTTGTGCATAACACATGAAACAGTCTTGCTTACATCAGTCATTGATTTCAGGATTGTTTCTGTAAAGCTTTGCTACACTGGTTCTGTGAAAGCTGTTACTGTATAAATATACTGTGTTCTTTTTGTCTTTAGAAGACTGTAAAAGTCAATGCTGGAAGGTAAACCGGAAGGAACAGGAGCAGCTACATCTTTGAGAAATTTGTTGGCAATTAATATGACCCATGAAATAGATCATCAATCTTTTCTTAAGTCTGTAGTTCAGGTGTGCATTTCCGATGTTTCACTGACCGATGCAATTTTCATTTAATCCAGTCAAAAAGCTCCATGATACAGCAAATTACCATACTGCTTACAGAGGTCTTTGTGAAATATAATACTGTTTCACAGGGGAAGGCAAGCACATGTGAAGGATTAGGGCTGCTATTTACTTCCACTATTTCCCAAGACTTGTGCCATAACTGCCTGATCTTTGAAGGTAAAATTTCTTTGGCAAAGTAGGAACCTTTTTACTGTGTTTTCCCAAACCTTTGAGAAAAGGCATAGGAATGTTTACCTTGTTTTTAATATAAAAAGCTGTTCTGTGACAGCCTCGGTCATCATTGCTATATATCTCTTTTTTCATATATTTTATGATTTTCTCATTGTTATCAAACCACAAGTAATTTTCTAATCACTGTTGGTTTTCTTTTTGTTAAGGAAGAAGATGATTCCCTGTTTGATAAAGGGGAAGTGAATTTTTGGGCAGAGAAGCTGACTCATGTGAGACAACTGAGTAAGCACCTTTTACATCTTGTATCAGTGACTCACCTCACCTTACCAGATCATGGGGAACTTAATCATCTATCAAGAATAGCACTGGACCAAGCCCACCGCATTGAACAGCTTCTTGGAGCTCTACCTCAGCTTCCAGAGTTTTCCAGAACTCCAGAATTCACAAGATTGGCTATTCAAAAGGAGAGAATATCAGTCTGTCTTAAAATATTAAATCTGCTGAAGCCTGATGACACTTGCAAAAATGAAATTCTGGAAAAGTAAATGACTAAAACTTCATCCTCAGGGAGCTGCACACATTACTGGATGGGCAGGGAGACTGTATTCTGGTAATGTTCAAGGAATCAGGGATTGCTGTGATGACTTCAGGAAACCTGCAGTACCTTCAGTATTCAGGCTAGAACTACATTTTTTTGTATTGATTAATTGTGCATTGATATATTTTTTATGGGACATGCAGTGGAAGACTTTTCCTTTTAAACGCATTTGCTAATTTCATTCAGATGAGCATTGTTTATTACAGCTACTGTAGGAAGTAAAGCAGCTAAACTTAATATTTTCCATTCATCCAGGTGCAGGCCACCTGTAGTTCTGTTATGTTTTGTTCCACGTTTTTACCTCCTGTATCTTAATACCAAGAAAAAGGGGGGGGTTTTGTCTCATTTCAAGATTTAGCATGTAACTTATGAAATAAATATGCTTTTTAAAAAACCTTTAAACGTTTCTAATAGAAAAACCGTGACTTTTTTGTTAATGGGAATTTTTAGAGTATATTTTAAATTTTACTGCATTTTGCTCTGGAGGAAGACAAGGATTTTCACTTTGGTAGTAACCCTGTTTTGCACATTGAAACAGCATTAGTTAGATTTCTGCACGCCTCTTTTCTCCTTTAAATGAAGTAACTACTTTCATAAAATGGCTCTAAAATGAAGACTTGCTGTGTTCAAAACGAAGCAGCTGTTCCATTGCAAACGGAACAGTTTCATCTTTACTTCCACCACCTTGCCCTGCAAGCAGGCCTGGCAAGCGAGGTCCTGCCGAGGAGCGTCAGGGCCCTCGGGAGGTACCAGAGGTGTTTGTGCACTGCAGCCCTCGCTTCTGCGAGATGCTCTCACCAGGTGGGGCAGCTCTAGGGACTATTCTGACTGCTCCAGGGTCTTGCTGAGTCTAAAATACAAAAAAGCTCGTTGCGCATTGAATGTTTTTTTTCCTGCGAACTGGAATTGGGTTTCCATATAAAAATGAGACATTAAAAATAAATGGTGATGTGGAAAGGTTGTGTTACCTTCCCATAGCCGAGGGCTGCGACTGGACGTGTGGCTGCGGGGTGGCTGGGCCCGCCACAACACGGATGTGCGGCCCTGTACGCCTTCATTTCTGTGTCCTTGGAAGAAGAACATGTCCGATGAACGCCTGGTTGCTTTCAGCCTCTTCACCTGATGGCGTCAGAGCGCAGTTTAGCCCCCAATCCCGGTGCCGCCCGGGTGCCGCCCGAGCGCTCGTCCCGCGGCCGGGCGCGGCTCGGCGGGTGCGCTGCGCGGCCGCCAGGTGGCGCCACAGCACCGCCGCGCACGGGCCGGGCCCGCGCTCCCGCCGGAACGGGATCGGGATCGGGATCGGGATCGGGATCGGGATCGGGATCGGGATCGGGATCAGCCAGGGCAGGGTAAGGCTTGGGCTGGCGCTTCTCGCAGTGCTGGGCGCTGCGGTGCCCCACAGCCGATCGCTGCTCTCTTGAGTTTAAATACTCTGCTGTAAATAGAGCTAAGCTGCTGAGTTGGGTCCAGTGGACATCAACGCTGCACAAAGTCACCACTTAAAAAAACCCAACAAACAGAACTTAGGAATAAAAGTTTAGTATTTGCTCTGGTTCCAGGATTCAGGGTTACTTATATAAGAAGTAATTTTATGGCAAAACTTGAGGCTTCAACAGGCAAAAGAGAAATGTTGGAATCCGAAATGATGTTTCACAGAATGCTTGCTGTCCAGCTCAACAAGCCATGCTGTGAGTTAGGCTGAAAATTAATTTGCATGCATCTGGTTTGAGCTCCTGGGGAAAGAATAGCCCAGATTGTGTCTGGAAGCCACTCTTAAAAAAATAGTCAAGACCTGTACAATTAATTAGCAGCTGCTGATTCTGCCACATCTTTCCATCATTTCTGAACTAGTGTGGCAACAGCTTCTATAGCAGGAGACAAAAAGAACTTTTTTATGTATCAAAAGTTCTGAGACCTTGCTCATGTCAGTGGGTAGCATAAGACTGTGTAGCAACATTGGCTTCTTTTATAATTGGGTAGAATTTAAAAGGCATATGCATATACATTTGATACTGGCAAGTCGATACATGCAGACAGGTGACTGCAGACAGTAATAGACCCACAGTGACCATAAAACTTGGTGAAGCCTTGAGGACTTGGTTAATCAGTTACCAAAGAGCTCGAAAACCCGGTCTTCCTTATTGTGGTTTTAAGATGCAACTGGAACCTCTGTCATCCTGCTTGAGTTTATAAGAGAGCAACCAAGAACTGTATCGGTGCACATACATTTCACCACACCGTGCTGATGATGGGTTACTGTGTAACTAGTAAATGAAGAACCTTTAGACCCTAAGGAGCGATTGCAGGAGAATGTTAGCAAAACCTGATGCCGGAGCACTTATCGGCCGTGTGTTTGATCAAAGTCAGTTTATCAAAGTATTCCTCCCAACGGCGTTGACACATTGATCCGTGCATGATTGTCACAGTAAACTGTTCCCTTGGTTGTCTGGCGGGCAGGATCAGCTCCGAGGTGATGTTTCCATCGCAGAGTTGTGTGGGAGGAGGAAGAGTTTGAACTCGGGTCAGTGCGGAGGCGACTCCGACCGGCCCCGGAGAAGGTTATGGGAAGCGATACGCGCTACGGCTGCAGCCCCGCGTTCCGGCGGCTCCCCGTGTGCGGGGCAGCGCCTGTCGTCGGGACGGGAGCTGCGGCCCCCGGCAGGGCGGGAGGAGGGGAAGGAGCAGGAACGTGGGATGTGTCCCGGCACCGCGGGGCGCAGGAGCCGGCGGCCGCTGGGGGGCGGCACGTCCCCGCCGGCCGCGCGGGCAGCGGGAGGGGCCGGGAGCGGGGCCGGGAGCGGGGCCCGGAGCCTGCCCGGCCGAGCCCGGCAGCGCTCGCCGAGCGGCGGACGGGCCCCAGGGGACTGCCGAGACGCGGGAGGGAGCGACGTTTGGGCTTTCCGCCGCCCAGCCCCTCGTCTTTCCCGGGAGATTTCGATCTCCGTTTCCGGGCTCGTCCGGCCGTGGGTGACGGCTCACGGGCGGTGCCAGGGTCCGGGCAGGGTCCCGCCCGCAGCCTCCCTCCCGCAGCGGCGGGAGGGGGAGGGCGATGGGGAGGAAGTAAAGGAGGGCGTGAGCCGCTGGGCAGCGGGGGGCGAGCGGCTCTGGTGACACCCCCGCCCCCCAGCCCGAGGTTCCTTTCCTTTGCAAATGTGTTTGCACAGCGCCGCGCTCCTGCTGACGTGGTCGGGTTTGCTCCCTTGGAGCGCGCGGGACTGCCATCCCGGCTCGGAAGCTAAAGAGGATCAAACGCCTCTGCTGGCTTTAGCAGCCATAAAACTTTACACGTCCGTCCGCCTCTGTTCTCCTTCCCATTTGTCCCGGGGCCGAGCAAACGCGGGAGGGGATGGGGGTGCAGAGGAGCCGCCGCCGCCGTTCCCACGTCGTGTTTGCGCGGCCTTATCGGCGCGGGGGGGGGGGGGGGGGGGGGGGGGGGGGGGGGGGGGGGAGTGTTTTGCACGGCGGCTCCCGGCCCGCCTTGGCCGGCGGCCGGCCCGGTCCCGGGAGGGCGCCTCGCCGCGGGGACCGGCCGCTGCCTTCGCCAGCGTCCGGCGGTGGGAGGGAGGGCACCTGAGGCGGCGGCCGGGGGACTCGATGGGTCTCACTTGGCGGAGATGAGGAAGGAAGGGGCCGAACGTGGAAGAGAAACGTAGGAGGGGTGCGGGGCGGCGGAAGGAAATGCAGACAGGGTTAGGTGCGGGTAGGTTATCAGTCAGGCCAGTGCGAGGATAATGCCACCTCGCCTCCGCGCCTGGTCGCCAACCTCTCCCAAACTTCAGAAAGAAAGTAAGCGCCAAACCCGAGGTCCCCGAAAAGAGGGAAGCGGCGGGGCGCGCAGCCCGTGCCCGGCCCCGTCCCTCCAGCCGCACCGGGGCAGCGCGGTCCCGACCTTTGTTTCAAGCAATTACGTGGCAAAAGTTTATTTTCGGCGGGCGAGAGGAAGAAGTGTCCCTGGCGCTGCCGCGCCTCTCGCGCGGCCCCGCGCGTCCTCCACTCGGCAGCAGCCGCCCCCCGGCCGGGGACGGGCAGCGGCAACGCGGAGGCGTCGGGGAGAAGAGGGGCGCTCTACAGGGGCCGAGCCCGTAGGGCGCCGTGAGCGCTGCCTCGGCTGGTTCCCCGCTCCCCCCGCCTCGTCCCGCCCGCGCTGCGGGCGCACTGCAGCACAGGCGCTCCCCACGAACCTGCCCCACCGCCGCTGCCAGCGCCCTCTGTAAGACTCGGGGCGGCCCGACCGGCGGGCTGGAGCGGGGCGGGCCCGGCGGGCAGCGCGGGGCGGGCGGAGCGGAGCACCGCCTCCGCGACAGCGGCGGCCGCGTTTATATGGGAGCGGCGCGGGGAGCCGCCGAGTTCCCGCAGTTCGCCCGCTGCTGTGCAGCCGCCGTCGCCGCCTCGGCCCGGCACCCGCCGTCCCGCCGGGAAGGAGTCGGGACCGTTTCGGATCTCAAGCAGACGGCCCTCTCCTATTTAGTCGTGGCTTTTCCAAACCCTCCGAGGAGAGCGGGATCTTTCGGTCCTTCCTGTATATCCGACCATTACAGGATCTAGAAATGTCGACGACACTTTTATCTGCCTTCTACGACATTGACTTCTTGTGCAAGGTAGGGAAGAGCGCGTTTGGCTGGGCGGGACGCGGTCTGCCGCTGCCGCCATGTGCAGCGCTCCGGGCAGCTGGGGCAGCGTGGCGGGACGGGAGGCCCGTACCGGGCCGGGCTCTGCGGGCGGGTCACGGTCTGACAGCCGGCCGGGGACAGCAGCTGACGCAAGGCTGCGAGCCCCGGAATGCCGCCTCATGGTCTCCCGGCGGCCGCGTTCGGGGCGGGCTGGTCCTGCAGCCGCGCGGGAGCCGGGCCGCCCTGCAGCCCCTGCCCGCATGTTGCGCTGCTAGGAGGAACTTTTTCAAAAGTTGCAAATGCAGCAGAGCTGGCGCGGGGGTTTCTCCCCGGCGCTGTCCTGCCCCGCCGGCGCTACCGGCAGACCCGCTTTGGGGGCGGTCGGGCGGCGCGACCCCCGCCTCGACTCCCGCGGCGGTGGGGAGCCGTGGCCGTGGGCAGGCGGTCACCCGCAACACCCTCTCTCTCTCCCGCTGTCTCCCCCACCCCCTCCCCTCTCCCCGCCCCGGCAGACGGAGAAGTCCCTGACCAACCTCAGCAGCATGCTGGACAAGAAAGCCGTGGGGACCCCGGTGACCCCTCCCAGCTCCAGCTTCGCGCCGGGCTTCCTGCGGCGGCACTCGACCAGCAACCTGACGGCGCTGGCCGGCGGCTCCAAGTTCCCCAGCCCTACCGGCTCCAGCTCTTCTTCCACATCCTCCTCCTCTTCGTCGTCGTCGTCCTCCTCCTCGTTCGGCAATCTGAAGGAGACAGGCTCCGGCGGAGGCGGCGGCAGCAGCAGCCCCACGGCCCTGCTCAACAAGGAGAACAAGTTCCGGGACCGCTCCTTCAGCGAGAACGGCGAGCGTAGCCAGCACCTCATGCAGCAGCTTCAGCAGCAGCAGCAGGCGGCCGGTAAGGGGAGCGGCTCCGGCGGCGGCGGCGGGGCCCCCATCAACTCGACGCGCTACAAGACGGAGCTGTGCCGCCCCTTCGAGGAGAGCGGTGCCTGCAAGTACGGCGAGAAGTGCCAGTTCGCTCACGGCTTCCACGAGCTGCGCAGCCTCACCCGCCACCCCAAGTACAAGACCGAGCTCTGCCGCACCTTCCACACCATCGGCTTCTGCCCCTACGGCCCGCGCTGCCACTTCATCCACAACGCCGACGAGCGCCGCCCGGCGCCCGGCGGGGGCACGGCCGCCCCCCCGCCCGCCGCCGCGGCCGGG